AGAATATTATATATATATATATATATATATATATATATATATATATATATATATATATATAACGCCCGCTTTTCTTGCTAAGCATTAGTTTAATGATGTAATAGTTAAGGTCAATATTGTAACCTATTTTGAAGTAATGAAGAAGAATTATTTGAGTATTATGTAATTTATGTGATTTACGTGCAATATACGTGCTTATAACAATATAATAAATAATAATAATAATATGCGTCAAAAATAGAATGAAGATTTGACCCAATATCTTTAAAGAAAGTTGAAGTAGTCGTAACAAGGATTTCGGGGATATAAGGAACGCTGAAATCCGACTTATAATGAAGAAGTTATGACCCGTCGAAGTTTCGCCACTAAACCGGCACGACGTCGCGTATCGTAAAAAGTGAAACTTTGATAAACTACCTTTTTAGCCTTAGAGGTCTAAACAAAAGTCGTAGTACACGTCAAACCGAGAGCGTGCATATAGAGAACATCCAAATCTGACTTCGTTAAAGGAAGTTATGATTTTTCTAAGATTTAGTATAGCAGTATACAACCCGGAAATCGAATTTTAGATCGATCAAATTTTTAGCCGACACAACCTAAATGAGAATTGAAGATCTCATTAATAGGAGCTCAAAGATATAAAGACAGTCGAAAACGGACGTCGGATGACAAAGTTATGAATTTTTAACGGACTTTATCTGTCTAAGCATGTTAAATATAACTTCAAAAAATAAAGTCAAAATTAGCCGATAGAGTCTAAACGAAAGTTGTAGATCACGTCGCTACCTACGGGTGGATATAAAGAATGTCAAAAACGGAGCTCGTATGCAAAAGTTACGGATTTTAGAAGATAACTAGTTTTTGGAGTGACCAGCGAGTGACACGTGACGCGATCTGAGCCACTGCTTCCTCCCCACATCTTGCCGCCAGATGGCAACACTTGGCACAACAACACGCCGTGTTTAGCCGGCAACATTCCGTGTAGCTCAATTTCACAACCTATAAATAGAGGCACAAATCACTTCATTTCTCACACCTCTCACAACCCTTCTCTCCCAAATACCCCCAAACCCTCTTCCCCTTTCCCTAGCACTTCCTAAGTGTTAGAAGCGAGTCCCGGAGCACCAGAAGGCCCCGAGAAGAAGAGCTTTCAGCTCAGAAGTTATGCCCGTGCAGAGCCCGGTTCCTCGCTAAACCCCATTGTAAGTGAGTTATGCTTACCCTACTTTAAGTATAACTTTGTTTAAGTTCATTATCGTTATTATGAACCTATAAACAAGATTTATCATTGATTCAAAGTCTTTATACTTATTGATCTACTTACTGGGGATGATGTCTAGGATGTGATTTAGTGAGGTGTTTAAAGTGGGTTTTCCAAACAGTATACTTCGTATACCAAACGGACCCTACCTCCGATATGATCCTACCTGGTTGTTCCTTACTTGATAGATCATGAAAGTAGACTTTGAGTTAATGATGAATCTACACTAATAATTAGTCGCAATAAATATTAGACCAAAATCTAATAATAATGATACTAGGTTTCGTCGAAGGAAAAGAAAATTGTTAGAAGCGAAGGCTGCCCGAATTTCGAGTCACCACTTTAACAAGTGAGTGCATAGTTACTTTCATCTTACACAAAGATATGAAGTATTTAATATAAATTACATGCTATATGTGCCTATTATCCGTGTTCCTGATATCTATGCTAGATGAACGATTTATACACGTTTTACTTGATTTAAACTGTATGTGTATTTTATACCTATAAATATGTTGGGTAAAGATGGGTAGATGATATAGATGATGAAAGATGAAATAAAATGATGAGAGGCCTCGATGTTTAAGCTGATTCAGTCATCAAGCGAAGTATAGATAACGACCACGGACTATTCTAGACAATCCAGTGGAACGCTGGCAAGCTCGCAACCTGTAGGTGTTTTTGAACTACGTGTTCACCAGGTGTACTCCATCCCCCTGACATATATTATTGAGGAATCCCTTAAGCGGTATTGTCTTCCCGATGATAATCCTTAGGCTAGGTCCCTTGAATTAGATACTTTAGGGACAGAAAGTGAGGATAACGAGAACGGGTAATCGGGTTGAATGATTTGATGTAATTAAACAACTTAATTATTATGGGTTGAAAACCGTATGTGCTCACCAGGCTCCCAAGCCTGACCCACTCAGTTTCTTGTATTACAGGTAGTGGCAAAAAAACACATGAGTGATGATCTGATGAGAGATCTATGGATTATAGGTCATTAGAATAATAGATGTTTGTAAGACCTGTACTATTTATGTTTATGCTTATGTACTGTATTGACAATGACATCCTAACGTTTTTAATATAATTAAACACATTTCTTCGGAAATGCTTTGATAAAATCTTTATCATATTTTTTGGAAAAAATTCCGCAACATTATTCATAAAAAAGAATACTCTGATTTTTAAATAATGCATAAACAAATTGGTTTTTTTTTTTTGCCGTGAAATTGGGGATGTCACTATATATATATATATATATATATATATATATATATATATATATATATATATATATCTTTATTTGAGACCATGCTAATTTTGTGAGACATGAGACACAATTCTAGCCACTCATCTTGTAGATCAATAAATTAATATATATATATATATATATATATATATATATATATATATATATATATATATATATGTAAAATGCAAATAAAAGGAAAAATCCGAAAATTATTTTTTTTTAAATATTATTTTCGTTATTTAATTTATCCGAAAAAAATAAACAAACAATAAAAAATTACCTTTTTTTCGAAATATAAGTGAAATATTCTAATAGAATATTACACTGTAAATATCAAATCGAATTTTTAGAATGTTAGAGTATTCTAATATTCTACTAAAACCGATAGATATATTAACATACCTAATATTCTATTAGAATTGTTAGATATGTTAGAATATTCTAATATTCTATTAGAATTTTTTGCATATTTATAAGTTAATATTCTAGTAAAATATTATAACATTCTAAAAATTCGATTTAAATATTTACAATATGATATTCTATTAAAATATTTCACGTATATTTTGAAAAAAAAGAATATTTTCGTATGAATTTTTTATTTTATTTTTTATTTTTTTGGGTAATATAAATGAAAAAAAATAATATTTAAAAAAAATCGAAAAATTTCATTTATTTTGCATTTTAAAAATATTTTTTTTATCTCCAAACTGAAAGGTTATGATTACGTCCTCATGGCTCACAAAATATGATGATATCATATATATATATATATATATATATATATATATATATATATATATATATAGAAAGAGAGAGAGAGAGAGAGTTGATTTTCTTTTTCATTTTTTTAATAAAAAAATATAAAACAAAACAAAAAGGGAGGAAAGTCTTTTTATATGACACGATAACCAACCAAACAAGAAAATGAAATCACATGAAACAAATAGATAAAGATTTCCAAGGTTTCCCTAAGATGTTAAATATGATAAACCATAGGACCAATCATGTAATTATGTCAAGGTTCTAAAAAGCTCGTCATGGCTCCCTCCAAGGAAACTTGCCGCCAAGCTTTACCAAACGTCGCCTTAACTCGTATATGTGTATAAAAATGAAAAATAGTTGAAAATACATATAAAAATATTAATTATATACAAAATTGTCGCCTTATCACGTCTTACAAACGACGTGGGTCGCCAAGGCTCGGAAAAGCTTGAGGCTTGACATTTCCGTCAGGTCACGCCTTACGTTATTTAGAATCTTGAATTCTGTCTAAACAATATTATAAATTATTGATTAAATTATAAATTTTGTCCATTTGTTTTTTGTTTTTTCTGCCAAAATGGCAAGTTTAGTCCAAAATTCAAAATTGTCTCGAGGACATCTTTAAGTTTGCATTTTGTTGCGGATATGATCCATAAACCATTTTATACTTTAGAATTCATATCGGACTTTTAACTTTGAGTAAGCCATTGTCTTTAAGTTTGCATTTTGGTGCGAATATGATCCATAAACCATTTTATACTTTAGAATTCATACCGGACTTTTAACTTTGAGTAAGCCATTGTCTTTAAGTTTGCATTTTGGTGCGGATATGTCCTTTAACCATTTTATACTTTAGAATTCATACCAGATTTTTAACTTTGAGGAAGACATTGTCTTTAAGTTTGCATTTTGGTGCCGATATGATCCATAAACCATTTTATACTTTAGAATTCATATCAAATTTTTAACTTTGAGTAAGCCATTGTCTTTAAGTTTGCATTTTGTTGCGGATATGATCCATAAACCATTTTATACTTTAGAATTTATACCAGACTTTTAACTTTGAGTAAGCTATTGTCTTTAAGTTTGCATTTTGTTGCGGATATGGTCCCTAAACCATATAAAAAGACTTCGGAATTTGGATTGTATTTTTTCATTTTGAGTAAACCAGGAGGACCATATCCATAACAAAATTCAAACTTAACTATGACTTTGTGATGATTTGAAATTTGGACTAAACTTGGGATTTTAAGTAAAACATATGGACCAAATTCATAATTTACTCTAAATTACATGGAAATTACAAAAGTAGTTCATGTTTTTGTTGTTTTCTCTTGATAGTTTCTAGATAGTTCAAAGTTGCATATTTGGAGAGGTTTTCATCGTGGATTTAACCTTGTAATTTACCTTTTATACAAACTATTTTTCAATTTCAATATTTTAAATGTTTTATTATATATAGCATTACAATTACAAATTAGGTGCCTGATTCCTCCTATAATACATTCATTTTAATTTTCAAATACACATGTTCAATTTTATCTTTCATATAATAAGTATTTTTCTGTTTAAATTTTTTAATGTTTTATTATTAATAATAGCATTACAAAGAGGGTACCCGATACACATGTGCAATTGCATAAACTACGCTTAGACGTTTAAAATATAAATATACATTCAACATTATCGTTTCTAATTTTAATTTTCAAAATATTTGTGGACTAGACATTTTTCCATTAGTATAAACAAACTTCTAGCCATGAAGAAGCCAAAAGGCTCACTTTCACCTCTACATTTCACTTGCTACTTGCTACAACAACAATACTCATATATTACAAACTTCTATTAAAAGCTTGTTAGCCAATATAACTTCAAAAGATTTCAACCAAAAACAATGTAAACTTGTGATTCATTGTCTTTTAACTAACTTCCGAAAAATCCGGTTCTTCGGGTTTCTGCAACTTAAGCCTATTCGCCATCCCCCTTCTCGTATTCGCCGCAAATCTTGACGCCAAAATCGTCACCCCAAGGTTTGACTTTACTTGACCACCCGCCACATCACCACCACCACCACCCTCTTCTTCTTCTTCACCCTCATGTTCTTCCTCATCCTCACGCTCGTGTTCATCATGGTCAACAAAAGACTCCATGGTCAACAAATTCTTCGCCATCACCCTCCTCTTATACCGCCTCCACGCCGCCTGAATAAAACAAGCCGCCCAAGTCCGCCAATGATGCGAATAATGCCTAAAAGTATGTTGCAACTTCTTACTATGCAATCTTCTAAATTGATTAGCCACAAATTTCAAATCTTCTGCTCTTAACGCAAACGCTTCGACTTCCGTGAGTGATCTAACGGTTCTTGTCGACGATGGTAAGTTGACCGTTGACTTCGGGTGTAGGGCCCACGCAAGAAGCTCTTCACCACAAAAGTCACCCGGCCGCATAATAATCGAATTGAAGAACCCCGTTCTGCCTCCGTTCGTTGTCGAGCTTTCGAGGCGGCCGCGAATTATGAAAAACATTTCGGTCACAGGGTCGCCTTCACGGACTATGTACGCGCCTTCCGTGCTTAAAGAGGACACGAGCCGTTCACAGATTGCATCGAGTAATTGGTCATCCATTTGCGAGAAAAACGGGACCTACCATATCAAAATAATCCAACTGAGAATTTCGTATATACCATTATTAAACATCAAAATATCATATTTGCCTAACTTAAATTGTAAATATCATATTTATCCTTCATAAAATTTTAAAATATCGTATATGCCCTTCTTAAACGTCAAAATATCATATACGCCTTTCTTAAATATCAAAATATCATATATGCCCTTTTTAAACATCAAAATATCAATGATAATATTTAAAATATCCTCCATCTACAACATGACAATATTTAACAATAACAAAACTAAGCAATCAATGCATACATTACATGGAGAGGGCTGAAGATGAAGCGTTTTGTTTATCAATAGAGCGAAATTCCAACAATTTAGAAATAGACGTCCCATTAGTATAGACGTAGGGATAACATGGTTAAAATTTTTTTAATTATTATAATAATTCTAAGATATAAAAAATGATTATAAAGTATTAAAAGCATTGTAAAAATTTTTTTGGGCAAATATGATATTTAGATGTTTTTTTTTTTTGAAAGAGCATGATATTTAGATGTTTAAGAAGGGCATATATGAAATTCTCCCTACATTTTATTACCGATAATAGCAATAATTCTTGATACTGCTAGGCTACATGCCCTTTGGTGTATGGAAATGTAAGTAGGTTGATATTATGCATGAAAAGAAGTTATTAAAGATTTGGAAAGTATACCCGTCGAACGAGGTCTAGGCATAGGTGGCGTTGAATATCCCTACGCAGATCCGCGGGTAATCCGTTAAGGATAACATCTTCATGGACTCCACGGGTTGCCACCCATTTGTATTGAACAAAACGCCGAACACGTTTTCTCAAATCTTCTGGAAGCTGGCGATGCCTCATCCATTCCTCTGTGTCTCTTCGCCTGAGTCTCCATTCCTCAAGTCTCATTGTTAATGACTGCAAGTACGTCTACATAACACACGCCAAAACGTATGGAATTAGGACTAAATCAAAGAAATAGCAACATACTATGGTTAAGAAGTATGATGTGGACTTATTAATGCATGAATCTTTTTTTCTTAAAGAGAAAGAATATATAAAATTTTCAAGCTTTAAGGGATAGGGTTACTAAACTTACTAAATTTAACGATTTGTAACATGAAAAAAATAAAAAATAAATAATGGTGTCTTTCCACTTACCTGCATATTACCAATCAAATGTGCAAACAAAACAAGACCAACAATGGCAATGAGTATTGCAAATGATGTCTCCCCTATGAATGTGCTTGTCGACAAGTTTTGCCCATATGAACTGGAAAACAACATAAAATCACATACACCAAATAATCAGTTATTACTATTATACCCCACATCTAAAGCATGGTTTCATTTTCATTTTTGGGTTTTAATTTCAAGATGTCAAACTTCAATGATTATATTTTAGCATACTAGTAGACCTTCGATCAGGTTTACTTATGCTACAAGGAGAAAGAATTAAGTAGAACTACTATCCTTTATGTTAGTAATGAAATAAATGAGTTGGTGAGGGGCAATAAAGTCTTTTCCCTTGCTAAATAGAAGTGTTTGTGAGAGTTAGGATGCTATAATAAACAAACTAACAAAACTACATTGTTGTTTCTTGCATCTAACCCAAATAAACAATCAAATAAACTTAAAAGAAACACATACCTTAGTTGTTGTAATCCCCACCACAAACAATAGAAGTACTTATGAAAAATACTTGAGGAAATCACATTTTTCTTCACTGCATTTTGGAATATTCCATACTTAAAAGGCAAATCATCATCACCTGTACACCCCTTAAAAACATTTGTCAATTCTGTCCAATTTTTTCTCTCAATATCATTGATTGTGCTACAATCAAGATAACTAGCTTTACATGGTGCTTTTTCATCATTGCAAATAGATTTCCAACATGACAGGTGTCGATCAATCGATAACAAATACCAAGCTGCCCCCAATACCTAATTATGAGAAAATCGATAAATTGTTATTATTTATAAAAAAAAAAAGGGTATATACTATTATACTATATACAAATATACAATTATTATACATACATGACTAGCCAACATGTATAACATTAAGTTATATGCAGCTCCTGCCCAAGCTGTTTTTGTTACAACTCCAGTTGCTTTGACTAATTCAGAACTTAAAGGAAAGATTAAATATAATCTTGGAATATATTGTAAAAGAACAATCAAAGCAAGGGCATTATTATTGTGATTGGCTTTTGAGTTTCTTGTTGCAGGTATAATGAACCATATAACAATCTGCACAAAATAACAAAATCCAACATGAATTAACACATCAAGAATGTAAAAAAGAAAAAGAATTGTTACAATTTTGTTATAATTTTGTTACAAAGTACCTGAGGAAGAGGGAGAGTTGCAATTAGATCAATGAAGAAATCGGTTCTAATATATCTTTTAGCAATCTTTTTAGGATCCATAACAAGTTCACCCCTTCCAAACACCCGTGAGCTAGGGGCAATATAAGCTGTTCTAAACTTAATTGCAACATGTAACATGTAAAACAAATCTGCTAATGTCCGAAAAGTAGTCACAACAATTCGAAGGTTTAAATCTGTTTTCACACACCAAGAATCTTGATTTTCTACTATTCCAGGTAGATAAAAGTATAATGGATCGATAAATAATGCCAACAAGCATGAGACTATGAAAATTCGGTTCCATTGTAATACAATCTCACTACCAGGATCAAGTATTCGTTTCTGCCATGTCTCATGATCTTCAGGGAATAAGTTGCTTGTTGTTGTTGTTGTTGATGTTGTTGTTCCATGTTTAGGGTTTGTGGGGACATTGAGTTTTCCCCTAACTGGTAATTTTAGCAGGGTAGATTGACCATTGTACCCTGAAGATGACTTTTCAAGGTGTAAAGGCTCGGTTTTTCCCCATATAACATCATTCTTTTGCTTGCCATTAGCATAAAACCTGCAAATATGATCATGAATCGGTTTTTAATTGAAGTTATTTGAATCTATTTGTTGCTAGGCATAAAAACAAACACTTGGCTGGCAACCAACGAACACCACGTTAAACCATACAAAAAGCAGATTTGTTGTTTCATGATTCATGCATCTTTTCGTTTCGTAAATCTGAGTAAATTAAACGAGAATAGTAACGGAAGATCGAATTTTGAAGAGAACCAACTTCGTTTTCTCGTTGATAGGATTGAAATTCCAAATATATGGGAAGGTAAGAAAAAGAAAGGCTTAGATCAACACCAACCTGACAAGCTTCTCCTTGTTTAGCTCCATGGGAGCTTGAGCTGAAGATTTAAGACTAATAGTCAGCCGCCAGTCACGAGTCACCACAGGCGATTGAAAAATGATAAATACGTACTCATACAGAAACGAAGATCATCGTTGAAACAGAAGAAGCAACGAAGCTCTAGAAATACCAACAACCAGCACAAAAAAGATTGAAAAGGGGGAAAAACCCTAATTGAATCACTGTATGTATTGTAGGTAAATCTTCATTGGTTTTGGGGAAACTTCAGAAACGGGGAAAGAGTGAAAGTGACGATCGATGAGCGAGCAATTATTGAGTGAGATGGGTAATGGATTTGTTTCCAGAAATCATAAAATATGGTAGGAATTTAAGAATAATCGGTTGTTAAAGACACATTCTAGGAATGTTAAAAGGGTATAATCCGATGTGATTAAAGAAAGAAAATAACGAATTCTTACCGATAATTTGACACAAGAAGCAGTGTGATTTGTGGGAAAGGTAAAGTAGAAAGGTGAAAGAGCATTAAAGAATAAAGATTTCGAAAATGGTGTCTGAATCACGAGTAAACCAGTGTGGGAGCAAGTGAACAGTGGGCCCAGTCGTTGACCCACGAGTCACGACACTATAAGTTAAGGAAATTTTCTAATTTAATAATTCTTTAATTTGCAATGTTTACAATTTTATATCATTTATTTTTAAATTAGTGTGGACACTCAAATTTTCAACAAGGCTATGATAGAATAAACCATTTGTAATATGGACACTTAATATATTTTATCATCTCATGTTCATTTGATCATTGGATCTTAATTTCGTGGCCAAACTTAAAATAATTTTAACTTACTATTTGTGAGTAATGAGGGATCTAGAAATATTTTTATACGAGGCCAAATAAAGTTCCAAAAATGTTAGAAGGAAATTAAATTGAACCCTTAAAAGTATGGTTGGTGATGATCTAAGCTTTTTTGTTTATTATTTTCTGATTAGCACTAATCACTAAAGCTAATTACAACTAGTCACTTACCATCACCACTAATGCCACAACCACAACCATAATTGTTGGAATATGAAGGTCCTTTATAAAATAAATGCCAAGAAAGCAAAATCAAAACCGTTACCATCATATTTCACCAAGGATGACAAGTTCATATCTAAATGCAGTAAAACCTAAAACCCTAGAAATTGGTAGAATGGTATACCTTTTTGCTGAAATGGTTGCTTTCTTTTAGATAATCGGAGAGCCCAAACCATAACTCCTATAATGTGGAAGCACCCCAAGACAATAATCAAGCAAAAAACAACATCCTTAGTCTTCTTGATGTCAAAACGAGCCTAGAAAATGATGTTGTCCAGCAAACAGAAGAAGAGTTTTGGGAGCCTATGGAGTTAAACTCGACTATTCAACCATACATAATGTTGGTATGGATGTTAGGAAACCTCTGTCCAAAAATCTAGACATTCCGACCATTAGATCTCCAAAAAATGACCAAACAATGCACTATATCTTCAAAACTGGAATTTCAAGAGAAAGTCAATAGGGAAAGATGGAAAAAATGAAGTGGGACTGGCCTTATGAGGAGAGTTGGTTAGGGGTTTTGTGTCACGGTTATATTCTTATATTAGGTATATTATCCATTGATTTATGGTACAAATACTCATCAACTTGAATTAAAGACAATTGCACTTAAAACCTTCGATTCCTTTTAGTTTCTAGTTAATTCATTATCTCATGAAAAACTAGTCCTTTTTAATATCTTTTTTTTTCATCTTAAGCTTAAGTGATATCTTATGTGTAACCCAAAAGGACTCTGTTATTTATAGAAATATCACTAACTTGTTGTGACCATAAGCATATTCAACATAACTCTCACTTGCAATGTCATAACATTTGTATAATCTCATGTTCTTTAAACCTAACAAGGTATACTTCATCCAAGATTATTGTTGTACTCATAACCTATTGGTGTGAAACAATCATTATGCAAGTGATCAAACATCTCTTTGTTCTTCAATATATCCATATTAACATGAGACATGGAAGTTTGTAAATCTTAGACGTTCAAGATTATGTTATTGATAGAGATTTTTGTTGAGCACAACATACTGCACCATTGATTCATCATCAATTTAGTTTGAGCACGTTCATCAATTTTATGTCAACATCAAATCATCGAAGGGCCCATGGGCATCGTTTCTACAGTTAGAGAATAATGAACAAATAAAATTTAACTATATAGACCTCGCCCACTCATCATGTCATACTTAGACATTTCTCGTATGGCTATCAATTACGAATAACGTTAGATAACACAAAAATTCAACAGACTCCATGACAAGGAACCTCATGCATATTTGTTTAAAGAATATAATATATAATCATCTTAAAATTACTCATGACAATTTTCATGAAGTAATTCCTAAATACGGGTTACTCCAATACTTAATCTTCATCAAGTACGCATGGTAATTTTTACAATACAAGAAAAGGTTGAAATAACTACGGAAGTACGATATGTAGTTATTCTGCTACAAAATGGCTTATCATAGCTATTTTGCTATGGAATTTGCTACATAATTGCATTACGTAGCTAATATTTGAATAGCTACGAAATTGAAAACTATAGTTATTCTACTATGGACTATGCTACAGAATAGTTAGACGTAGGTATATTTGCTACGGAATTAGCTATGGAATTACGTTCGGTAGCTAATATTTGTATAACTATGGAATTTTTCTATATAATCGGAGTTCATAGCTAGCGTGCTACAACATTTGCTAGGGAATTATAAGTCATAGGTATTTTGCTACAAAATTTACTACATATCATAGTTTGTAGCTATTTTGCTACAAAAGTTACCACAAAATCTAAATTTGTAGCTAGCTTGCTACGAAATTTGTTACATAGTCAAAATCTGTAGTTATGTCACTACATAATTTGCTACAGAATTAAAGGTCATAGCTATTATGTTATAAAATAAAAAATCATAAACATTATGAAAATGGATTTTCCAATAATCAATTTTAAGTGTTTTGAGGCTTCTCAAGTAAAGTTTAAATCCTAAATGTAACGTCCCAAATACTAAGTAAACTTTTTTTAAACCCTCAAAACCATACAACCATTTATTCAAAACCAATGAATATATGTAAAATTCTCAAAACATCAAAGTGTACCAAATAGATAATGTGAAATAAATCTTCGGGTGATGTTGTGCGATCAATTCGGACCCTTCCCTTTTGAACCAGAAGTACCTGAAATATTTTAAACATGAAATCGTAAGCACAAAGCTTAGTGAGTTCCCCAAAATACCACATATCATACATAACATAACGAGTCTATTACAACCCCCAAACGGATGTTATGGGCCAAATCACAGTCTTACTTCATGTCATGGGCCAAATCATGGTCTTTACTTATACAAATGCTAGCGGGTGAATCATGGTCTTCTATACAACTGCCAGGGGCCAAACCATGGTCTTCCATGCAAATGCCAGGGGCCAAACCCTGGTCTTTCATATAAATACCAGAGGCCAAAACCTAGTCTTTCATGCAAGAGTCACAAAGACAACTATCATCCTACATAGGGATGAGCTTTAGAACCGGACCGGTTCGGAACCGGAACCGGTTTTCCTATATTATAAGAACCGGGAACCGGACCGCCGGTTCTAGCACCGGTTCCGGTCCCGGTTTTTCGGTTATTTTTTAAACTAGAACCGGTTGAAATATTATAGATGATATGTTATCTTCCGGAGCTTGTAAGTGATTCAATACTTAACCAAATTATGAATTTTTACATTATAAATTGAAGTACAAACACTAAATTACATGATAAAAAAGAATCACGTAATTCCGACTTCATATGAGTGAGTTATTTGCATTTTAAAAGCAGGACAGATAAAAAAATTGTTAAAACAAAAAATATGCAACATTGATATGCTGTCTTCCGAGGTCTATAACTGATTCAATATCTAACCAAAATATGTGTTTTATAGTCTAAAATGAAGTACAAACACTAAATTACATATTGGAAAAAAAATTAAGTAATTCCGACGTCATATGAATGAGTTATGCACGTTTAAAAAAATGGGACAGATTCAAAAAAACAAAAAAACATGTTGAAATAGAAAAAACACAGCATCGATATTCTTTCTTTCGGGACATGTGATTGATTCAATATCTAACTAAAACATATGTTTGTACAGTCAAAAATGAATTACAAACTCCAAATTACATGTTGGAAAAAAAATCAAATAATTCCGACTTCATATGAATGAGTTATGCATATTTTAAAAAACGAGAAAATTGTCAAACCGGTTTCGGTTTTTAGAACCGGGACCGATTTTCATAAAAATGAAGAACCGGTAACCGGACCCTGTTACCAATTCCGGTTTCGGTTCCAGTCCGGTTCCGGTTCGGTTCCGGTCCGGTTCCGGCGGTCCTAATGCTCATCCCTAATCCTACATAGTATAGTAAGAAGACTCGCCTCACGAATACAGTCAACAGCTAATAGGCTCACGCGTTTGAAATGTGGATGTTACACACCTCCTAATGAATCATACAAGATAAACTCCTAATCTACCTTCTAAAACTAGCCATTTGACTAAAAGTCAACCCATGTCAAAAGTCAACGGTCAAAGTTAACTCCAATTGCCTTCCACATCGTGGCCAACCAATGGCCTGTCATGGTCATTCAACTTGATCCCGATCAAAAACAGTTTACCATGTCATGGCAGACATGCTACCACGCCGTGGCAGAAACCAGACAATATAGTTGCGACTGGACCAGTCTCCACGCCATGGCAATCAAGTCACTACGCCGTGGAAACTGTACACGGAAAACTTAATGGATTTAAGCTCATAACTCCTAATCCCAAGAGCTCTAAAGATCATATTTGAATCTCCACAAGGTCTTGATGGATAAAGTTTCCAACTTTATCCATTAAGACACCACAATAAGTTAAGATCTCTACTCCAAAGTTCTTAATGATTTCACCAAAGGCATAAACACCAGAATGATTCATTCAAGACAACTTTCCAACCAACAATGTGGTCTAGAAGCCAAAATATGCACCCAAAGGCTCTGGAGTACACTTAAACTCCAAAGACAAGAAGATTGGGACTAAATTTCTTATAAAATACCTAGAACAAGATCTACAGAAACAAGGAGCAAGGTTGAGACTTTATACCTCCACAAGGTCTGGAATGTGATGGAGATGTTGGATTGAAGCTGGAACCAAGCTAAAAAACCACAAGATGAGCTTCTCCTTCCTTCTATATTCATAAAGATGGCTTTACACCCTCAAACACACACATAAATAGGTTAGGGTTTACGGTGGAGATTGATTTTAGAAGATGTAGATTGCCAAATAAGGCAGAGCTAGGAGTTAGTGCCCTAAATAGGGTACAAAACCGGAGATCTAGAGTTTATACCAGAATGGATGTCACACCATGACAAATAGGTTGCCACGCTGTAGCACTACACAACTCCACGTTCTTAATTGGAAAATTGCCACGCCGTAGGGCCTTAGCCACCACGTCGTGGCCCACCCAAAACCTTCACAATTAATAATTAAAATAATTAACTTGGGAAAAGCATTACCTAGAAATAGATGTTACACTTAAATGATCCCGAACAACCATTGAATGATTCTACAATACTATTCGATTGATTTTAATGTGTGAAACATTAGAGAATCGACACATTCTATTCGAGACTGAAATTTCTATATCTATGACGTGGTGATGTAGAAGATTGAAGTCGATTTTGAATTACTAGTCTAGATTTTAGCAACAACCATGTTGCATTTGAAGTCAGCAAGAATTGCCAAAACCTTAGAAATCAAGTTGGTGGGGGGAGAGGGGGAGGTCACATCCCATTAGTTTGATTGTGGTGCTTCCCGGTGCGTATTGGACCCTGAACCTCTTAACGACTAGAAGTTGCACCCTTGGTCCAAGTAATTGCAACACAACAAAAATGTTATTCAAACAACTCCTGAACTCACCCACGCAAGTAAATAGTGCCAGCCGGGTAAAAAACAATTTTAAAAAGATTGCATGTTTTGGATTAGTGAGAAAACACTATTACAAAATAAAAAAACCTAAAATGCCAATTTGGCACCATAAAT